AGAGAGAGACAGAGAGAGAGACAGAGAGAGAGACAGAGAGAGAGAGAGAGACAGAGAGAGAGACAGAGAGAGAGAGACAGAGAGAGAGACAGAGAGAGACAGAGAGAGAGAGACAGAGAGAGAGACAGAGAGAGAGACAGAGAGACAGAGAGAGAGAGAGAGAGAGAGAGAGAGAGAGACAGAGAGAGAGACAGAGAGAGAGACAGAGAGAGAGACAGAGAGAGAGAGAGACAGAGAGACAGACAGAGAGAGAGACAGAGAGACAGACAGAGAGACAGACAGAGAGACAGACAGAGAGACAGACAGAGAGACAGACAGAGAGACAGACAGAGAGACCGACAGAGAGAGAGCACTAAGAGCACTGGCTGCTCTTGCAGAGGATCTGGGTTTGAGTCCCAGGATTCATTCATAACGCCAGATGGAATTCTAGTTCCTGGGGATCTACTGCCCTCATCTGGCAACCTCAGGCACCACGTGCACGTGCACACAGACATCCTCAGGCAAAACCACCACACACAGAAAACAAATAACAATAATTTAAAATATTTCAATATGTGCATTAATTCCATTTTTTAAATAAACAGAAAAAGATCTGAGAAAATTCATTCAAGTCTTGATAGACATTCATTAAAGGGCAGAGATGGGCCTGCAGAGGGAGCTGTGACTAGAATAAAACATGTGAATGAATGAATTCTTAATTAATAATTAAACTGGAAAGAAGACGCGCCACAGCATTGGCACAAGAATGAAATAATTGTCAGTTTGTTTGAACTGGAAACCTAGAAGGCCACAGGAAGTACCCTGCACATTGCTTAGAACTGTTCCTTAAAATGGTGTTAATATCCTTCAGTGACTTGTTTTGAATACCGTTTTTTTCCTCACAGCCTCTCTCAGTTCTCTTAGTCTGTCTTCTTGTTTTTTTGTTGTGTGTGTGTGGTATATAATACACACATGGGGGATGGTGCAGGTGAAGCCATCATGGGGCATGTGGAAACCCAGAACAGGACATTGCAGGACATCGGTGCATCTACTGTTATTCTCTGCCTTGTTGGTTTAAGACAGCATCTCTCACTGAACCAGTGTTGGAGTCACAGGTACCACCATCCCTACCCAGCTTTTTACCTGGATGCCAGGGATTCAAATCCTGGTCCTCAGGCTTGCACAGACTCTTATTTCCAGCCCTTGTTGATTTTTTTTAAAGACCATCTTTCATTTTAATTAATTAGAGTTTTGTTGTCATCGTGCATTTGGCTTTTGAGGATCTCTCTAGGTGACACTGGCTGGCCTCGAACTCATTATGTAGACCAGGTTGGCCTCAAACTCATCCAGGTCTGCCTGCCTCTGCCTCCTGAGTGCTGGAATTAAAAGCATGGGCCACTCACTGTTCCTGGGCCTGTTGACATTTCTGAGACAAGGTCTTTTTATATAGGCGGGGGAATTTAGGGTGATTCCCCCCCCCCAGCCACTGTAGTTAGGACTACAGGCTTTACGTGACGAGGTCCATCTGATCTATGAAGAATCCCAGTGTCTCCCTGATCTTGACAGGCCCAGAGTTTTGCCAGAATAGAGCCCTGGGTAAAACTGAACAGGGAGCAAGTGGCTGGCCACAGGTGCTCTGGGTGAGCAGAGGCCATCCCTGGAAAGAGGGCCAAGCTGATTCCCCAGTCCCAGCTGTCTGTCTGTCTGTCCCTGCTGTATAGTCCAAGGTGTGGTTCTGGGTGGGCAGCTGGTTCCAGCCCAGCTCAGATCTCCCACTTTTTCTGATAGGGGTGGCTGCAGTTGAGCCAGTGCTCCACGATGCCATTTGAAAGGAATGAAAGTGGGATTAAACAAAAGGACAGAATGCAAACCAAAGGCAAAACAAAAACACACTACTGTTTTAGAATCTGCCTCAGAAACAATCCCCTTATTGTTCTCTGTTTCATAATAAAGTTAAGGGCCCACCCCAGCTTTGTGCTGAACTTGGACTGGTCTCTGGGTTACAGTTTTGCAGTACTGAAATGCACTTTTCATTTGCAGAGTAGCAGTTGTGGATGGTGTGTGTGTGTGTGTGTGTGTGTGTGTGTGTGTGTCCCAGGTGCACTGGGGAGAAGGGTTTGTGTGGGTAAAAGGTTAAGCCACCATCAGCCAGACATTCTGTCAAAGTCCCAAGATCTTAAAACCCTCCTTTGTTGTCTTTTTGAGAAAGGACTTCACTAGAGGCATGTGAGAATGACCTTGAACTTCTTATATGTATCTGTATGAGGGAGTCAGGTAACTTGGAACTAGAATTACAGACAGTTGTAAACTGCCATGTAGATGCTGGGAATTGAACCTCAGTCCTATGAAAGAGCAGCCAGTGCTCTTAACCCCTGAGCTATCTCTCTGACCTTGAACTTCTGACCCTATGCAGAGACTACAGGCTTGTACCACCGTGCCAGTTTAGAACCCTACAGATATCATTTCAGAGGGCTAAGTAATGGACATCCAAATATCTTCGTTCTGGTCCTCAAAATTTGTGGACTTACCTTATAAAGAAAAAGGACAGCTGGGCAGTGGTGATGTACACCTTCAATCTCAGCACTCCAGAGGCAGAGGCAGAGGCAGGTGGAGCTTTGAGGCTGATCTGTTCCAGGACAGCCAGGGCTACACAGAGAAACCTTGTCTTCAAAACAAAAACAAAACAAAAAACCCAACAACAGACAAATGGTAGACCCAATATAATGACACACACCTGTAATCCTACTGTAAGGATTCAGGCATTATGCTGGCCTGACCCTGTCACACGGCAGAATGCATTCAGGCAGTATCCTTGTCAGCCCAGGGTTTCATGACTACTAGTCTGCACGCAAGTGCAAAGGACCCCTTTAAAAGAAAGACCCCCATCCATTTACACTATCTTCTCTCTCTCTCCCCTATTCCCATGGGGCAGACAAGATTTTTCCTGTCTCCCTCTTCTCTTCTGTCCTCTCTGTCTCTGTGTCTCTTTTCTCTTTCCTTTCTCCTCAATCCCCATTCTAATAAAACTTTTCACTTAAGCTCTGTCTGCCTGGCATGTTTGTCCCATGCCTTAGTCACCCTCGCCTGCCATGGAATCTGCTAAGGTCCCCATGAGCTTTATCCTAACAGCCATCACTTGGACCATAGAAGTGGGGATATCAGGAGTTCAAAGTCATTCTCAACTATATAGTGAGTTCAAAGCTAGCCTGGACTTTAGTGTTAGACCTGTCTGGGAAGAGAGGTGGGGGAGGGAGAGGGGGAGGGGAGGGATGGAGGGAAGGAAGAAAGGAGGGAGGGAGAAAGGAAAGGAGGAGAGAGGAAGGGAGGGAGGGAGGGAAGAAACCTCCAGGTGTAGTAGCTCCCAGAACTAGAGAGATAAAAGAGAATCCAGTCTGCGATCTGAGGCCAACCTGGGCAACCTTACAAGATGCTCCTGTCTAAAACAAAACAAAACAAAACAAAAAAAAAACCAAAAGAAAGAAAAAGTATGCCAAGGCTACGCAGAAAAATCCTGCCTTGAAATAAATAAATAAATAAATAAATAAATAAATAAATAAATAAATAAATAAAAGAATGTATAATCTGCCATTCCACTGGACTCCAGGGTAGATTCAGCTGATGTGGCTGGCTGGGCAGCTGCCTCCTTCCTCCCTCAGGGCTCCAGGACGCCCCTGATGCACACCCAGTAGAAAAGAACAACCCTTCACTGAAGGACTGCCCTTCCCTTGTAGTTCTCTGAGCAACAGTACTCTGCTACTATAATCTTCGAACCAGAGGTTCTCAACCTGTGGGTTGTGACCCTTTCAGGGGTCATTCTTCAGATATCCTGAGTACCAGATGCTTACATTACAATTCATAACAGTGGCAAAATTACAGCTATGAAGTAGCAATGAAATAATTTTATGATTGGGGGTCACCACAACATGAGGTGCTGTATTAAGAGGTTATAGCCTCCCAAATGTTGGAACTAAAGGCGTGTGCCACCACCACCCAGCCCAAACAAACTTTCAAGAAATAAAAGGGTTACTGGTGTAGTGTGTTGGACATAGTGTGTAGTGGCTTGGTGTTAGAGTGTTTGTTTAGTGTGTTCAAGGCCCTGGGTCCAATCTCAACACAGCATAAACTGGTGTTTGTAATCCCAGCACTTGGGAGGTAGAAGCAGGCCAGAAATCCACCCTCGACACATATCAAGTTCAGGGCTAGTCTGGGCTATACAAGACTTTGTCTTAAAAGAAAAGAAAAAGGATCTTTGCAGATCTCGTTAAGTGACTGAAACAGCAGCCAGGAAGTTTTCTAGACTAGCTTTGAGCTTACTCTGTAGCCCAGACAGGCCCTGAGCTTTCTATATTCCTACTTTAGCTCCCTAGTATCTGGGATTAGTATGTGCTGCTAGACTAGACTTCCATTGCTGTTGTTGATTTTTTATTTTTATTTTTTTCACTATGTAGCCCAAAATAATCCTGAATTGATCCTCCTCACCTCTCAGTGCTGGGATTAGTCATATGCCTCTCTGCCTTGGGTAGTGTTAATAGTTTAATTTAGTTAGTTTTGAGACAGGGTCTTACCCTGTAGCCTACATAAGCTAGGCATTCATTGTACAGCCAGGTTAGCCTTGAATTTTCCGTGATCCCCTCTCATCCACTCCTCCTGAGTGCTGAGATTGCAGGTGTGAGTCACCTTCCTGGTTTGCTTTATCTGTTTAGAAAGCTACCCCACTGCAGTCAAGGACAGTCATCCACTGCATACTCCTAGTCTGGGTGGACCTTTCCCGGACTCACAGACCCGCTTTCCTCCTAGGGGAGTACAGGGGGTTGCCTAAGGACACACAGCACCCTAGGGCTATGTGGGAGAAACGAGGCCTCGTCGATCGCGTGTAGATAGATGGATCTGCGACTTCAAGATCATTGTCCAGAGCAGCTAGGAGAGCCAAGGGTTAAGGGGCGGGACCTCGGGGGACGGGGCCTCGGGCGTCGCGGGGCGGGGAGTCGCGCACCTGTGGGCTCTGCCCAGGATCCCAAGCAGAGCCAGCAGCGGGAGCCGCAATCGCAGCTCCGGAGCAGCGCCGGGAGCGCGGCCGGAGCGTCGTGGGCTCCCGAACACCATGGCCGAGTTCCCGTCGAAAGTGAACACGAGGACCAGCAGCCCCGCGCAGGGAGTGGGAGCGTCGGTTTCTGCGCTGCGCCCGGACCTGGGCTTCTTGCGATCCGCCCTCGGGGTGCTCGCGCTACTGCAGCTGGTGAACGGGGTAGTCGGTGGCGGGATGGGGTACTCTCGAGGGAACCCCAGGGCGCACGCCCCCGAGATGATTAGAACATCGCACCTCCTGACGCCGGTGTGGGATCCCCGATAGTGCAGTAAGACTCTTGTGGAGGGAACCCCACACCCTAACCCTACCTGGTGTGGTTCCCGCGGCGAAGCCGCAGCTGAGATAGCCCGGCACAACTGGCCTCCAGTCTGTTCCTCTCCTCCTGCCCCCTTCCCTCTGGGACCCGGCCCAGGCCTTCTCCGCCGGGCAAAGTCCACTTCCCACCTCTTCACTCGGCTCCAGCCACTCAGTGAGGCAACCCTCCAAGATAGGTCAGGACAGCTTATCGGTGGCCCGGCAAGTGCACTCCCTCACGGGCACCTACCCAGAAACGACCCACGGGTCGAGTGTCCTGCTCTGGGCTGTGGAGATTCGCGGGAGGCCAGAAGTCACGTGCCTGCCATCCCCGGATCTCTGTGCAGGATTGTCCCCCTCACAACTGGTGCATCCCAAGGTGTCAGCGGTCTTTTCACAGTGCTCTTCTGTGAGAGTCTGGAGGCCTGTGGCTGCCTCTGAGGGGCAGTCTGCAAAAATTAAAGCATAGGATGGCACTGGAAGTAAAATTAGATCCCTTTCTGTCACCATCCCTCCAGTGTGCACATCGAGCCAAGCTGCCAGAGCCAGGCTGGGGAGTCGAGAGGCCCTCCGCAGAGATTAGGTCTTCCCTGATCTCCGGGGGAGCCACCACCTCCACCTGGGGCCTGCTGCCTTGGTTTCGGGGATTTCTGATCTTCCTTCATGAGCCCTCACCCTTCATTCTTACCCAATTCCTGCCTGGGTTTGTTTAAAATAAAGATTCTTGGGCCCCACCCCCGGACAAAATGTGAAATTGCTCTTTGAATCTCCGGAAGTTCAGCAAGAAGTTTGCATTTTAAAAATCTTTTGGTTTTGATGAGATTGGGGAGGGGTGGCTTGATGCCCTCTTCTGGGACCAATTTAAATCTGCAGCAGTAGACATTGTCAACCCGGGTGGAGCTCTTAGAGATTTGTTTGGTTTGGGTTGTTTTGTTTTTGTTTGTTTGTTTTGATGTTTTGTTTCATTTGGTTTGGTTTTTCGAGACAGGATTTCTTTTGTAGCTTTGGAGCCTGTCCTGGAACTTGCTTTGTAGACCAGACTGGCCTGCTGGGCTGTTTTTATTGTTGTTGTTTGTTTGTTTGTTTTTGTTTTTGAAACAGGGTTGCATTTAAGACCCAGATTGTTCTTAAATTCTCTCTGTAGTTGGTAGTTGAAGCTGGCTTCAAACTCCTTGTGTAGCTGAAGCTAACCTTAAACTAGATATTCCCAAGGATTGGGTTTACTCTTCAGTACCACCACACCTGAGGGTCGGCTTTGGGCTGGCCTGAGGGGAGGTAAGTGGCTTGTAGAAGGGACAGAGAAGAGACAGGTCATCTAGAAGGCAGAGCTTTCCAGCTGGGAGGGAGGCTGGAACCGTGGAGGGACTGTAGATGGCAGAGCTGGGTGGAGGTGGAGAAAGTAGCCCACAGGCTGAGCAGGAATTGAAGCATCAGTTTCTGGTCTGCATCTTATGCATCTAGGGCCAGAGCTGGGGTCTTGGTTGCATGGCTGGCCATAGAAGCATTGAGACATGGAGGTGTGAAGTAATAGGTTCTTATTACTTCCTAGCTCCTTCCCCATATTGGTTCTACAGCCTTCATTTGGAGACTATACCAGTGTACTTCTCTGAGACACTGTTTCCTAAGATATTTCTGTGGCAACCTACTACTCCACTGGGGCCAAGATGGGGGAGGAGCACAGACAGGCACCATACGTGCTAGAAAGCCACAGAAACACACTGGAGGCTAGCCTAGACTTTTGTCTAGGCATCTTTTTTGTTTGTTTGAAAAAGGGGTTCTCTTTGTTTCTTGATATATATGTATATATATATATATCATACATATATTATTCTTATTTTACGTATCAATTCCAGTTCCCTCTCCCTCCCTCCCATGCCCCTGACCCCCTCTCTCATGTTATCCCCCCACCACTCCACAGGGAGGATGATGCCTTCCAGGAGGGATCATCAAAATCTGTCAAATAATTTGAGTAGGGTCTAGGCCCTACCTCCTGTCTCTAGGCTAAGGGAGTATCCCTCCATGGGGAATGTGCTCCCAAAGTCCTTTCAGGCACCAGGGATACATCCTGGTTCCACTGTCAGAGGTCAGGGTTTCTCTTTGTAAACAGCTTTAACTGTCCTGGAACTCAAATTGTAGACCAGGTTGGCCTGGAACTCACAGAGATCCACCTGCCTCTGCCTCCCGATGCTGGGATCAAAGGTGTATGCCACCACTACCTAGCTTACAAGTTTTTTTTTTTTTTTTCTAATCATTCATTTCCTAGTAGTGGTTTTTCTGACTTCTCTGGCCACTACTGTTTATTATTATATATTGGTTTTTCTCTTACAGTGTGTGGGTGTGGCACTTTAGAGGATATGGGAGAGGCTCCCTGCCTAGTGCCTGTCCCTGGGAATCAGGGAGGGATGCTTGGAGGAGGCAGTAACTGAGAAAATGGTGCTCCTTGCTGCCTAGGTTGCTCTGTATCCCAGAGTATAGTGTCCTGCTGTGCTGGAAAGGTGGGTGGGGAGGAAGTCCAAGCTACTTAGGCAAAGCATTGTTCTTCATCTAGCATGATAGCTGGCCAGCAGAACCTGTCTCAGTGTACAGATGTCTGATGTCTTTCCTACTCTGTAGCCTTACCCATCCCTCTCTAGCCCCAGAACGAATATCACATGCTATTAATCGTTAAAACAGAAGAGTTAGTGTATTTCAGCTGGTGGCGGTGGCACACGTCTTTAATCCCAGCACTTGGGAGGGAGAGTGAGCGGTAGGTGGATCTCTTGTGAATTTGAGGCCCGATCTACAGAGCGAGTTCTAAGACAGGCTCCAAAACTACAGAGAAATCCTGTCTAGAGTTAGTGTATTTATAAAACCTGATGGTTTGGAGAGAGAAACTGACTTTAGAGACCTATGAAGTGACACTGCCTAGCAGGAAGCCTGCAAGTTTGAAATGTTTGTTCATGGCTGAACTTCCTAGTGATATAAGCAGAAGAAACCTGAATCTTCACAGCTAGCTTCTAAACAGGCAGGCAAGTGTGTCCCAGAGACAACTCTTCTAGTCAGAGAGTGCCAGAGTGCTTCACACTACCATTCTTTGTGTGGCAAGGGTACAAAGAGAAATCAATAAAATGTGATCTTCATATCTGAGCAACCCCCAACTGTCCTCACCATTGTGCTGGGGCAGGACAAACTCCAGCCTCATTGAAAAGTCCTGTGGAGTGTGGTGTCACACTGCAGGGACATGCCCACCCACACCCCACACGCATCCCACAAAGATGTGTCCTACATCAGGCACAGGATGTATTTTGGGTTTTTTTCAAACCTTCATTTCCACATTTTTATGGTGTTGGGGACTAAAGATGCTAAACTCCTGATTTACCCCTGAGGGTCAGGCCCCAGATCTCTTAACTTTTACATTTTATTATGTATTATTTTTATTTTATGTGTATGCATATTTTGCCTATATGTGTGCCTGTGTGCCACCTATGTGCCCGGTACCCAGGGAGACCAGAAGACGAGGTCATTGGATTCCTTGGGACTGGAGTTAAAGACAGTTGTGAGCCTCCATGTTGGTCCCGGGATTCAAACCCTGGAAGAGCCACTGCTCTTATGCACTGAGCCAACTCTCCAGTCTAGAGTCTGAGAGATGTAACTGCAGGTCTTAGCACGGGGAACTTACCTCTTGGTTCTGTAGCAACGTAGTGTGTTTTACCCTGACACACTTGAATTCCCAGTCTTTTGCTGTTTTACACTCCTCTGCCATGCGTGACTTTGCATATGCCACTGATATATCTGTGTGACAAGTTTGTGTAAGAGGGGCCCCAGAGATCCCAGGGTCAGAGTGCATGTGCAGTGTGTTTGCACCCCACCCCACCTCACCCCGCCCAGGCTGCAATAGATAGAGATCAGGCTGTTCACCTGCAGTTTTCACAGTTGTGTTCCATTTAATACACTCCCAGCCTTCTTTTTACTCTTTTCAATCCTGAGATAGGGTGTTCCAAAGTTGCCCAGGCTGGCCTTGAACTCACTTTGAAGCCCAGGATGGCCCTGAACAGGCCTCAGCCTCTCCAGTAGCTGAGAAGACAGGCCTGTGCCACCACACCCTGCATCTGGGAGTGGAATGGAGAGTGCCAAGTGCTCTCCATGGAGCTCATAGCTGTGTCCTCTCTCTAATAGGTACCTGCCTCCATGGCCCCCCTGGCTGGTGATAGGACACACTCCGGACACACCCCAATCTGATAGGCAGAGGTGGCAGGCCAGTGTGTGGGGTCAGTCTGTCTCCGTCCTCTTAGAAGCGAGCACAAACTTTAAAGGGAAATTGTCCCCTCTGCCTTTCTTAATTTCTTTCTGGTTTCTGGAAATTGAGACAAGTTGAGACCTTTCCCCCAATTCAGTGTCACTAAGAAGGTCCGTGTTGTACCTCTGAGATTTGAACACTCTTCTAGATCTAGGACTTACTAATAGCAGTTTGCATGGGGAAGGCTGCATCTGTAATTCTGTGATGCTAGTCCAGGCCCAGGTGGACTCCTGCAGGCCAGGCCCAGCTGCCCACCACTGCTGCCTTCCATGGGCCTGGAACAACCTGGCACACAACTGGCCCTGGGAGACTGCCCTGGCTCAGTGACTCCTTGTGTGCCTGTTTCCCACAGAGAAAGGGGCAGCTGGGTGGGTGGCTCCTGGTCCTCCTTGGGATCTTGACGGCCCCAGTGTTCTAGAATGCCTCACATCCAGAGTAGGCATTCCAAGGTGCCTCCCCCAGCCCTCCTTTGGCACAGAGGGGGTGGTGTGTGGTGGTAGTGTGGCCTGCTCAGGCGCCTGGAGCTTCTGTCTCTTGCCCCTTTGTCTCCTGAGACACAATGGGTGACTTTTTGTCCCCA